TGCACTCTAAGTTCCCATACTGACCGACCTGGCCAATGCACCATTTTCCATATACATATGCATTAGATTCCTGTCAAACCTTATTAGCTCACTAGATTTATATATTTCCCACCTTCTGATCGAGTGAGACCGCTAGATTCCCTCTACTTTTTGAGAAATGAGCGTTTCCGTTCTCCTTGGCCCTAGTTGCACTATAAGTGCGAAATGCCGGCCAGACTGGCCGATGCACAATTTTCTCTACACATGTGCGTTAGTTACCTTTCAAACCCTTACGTTCACTAGATGAATATATTTCCTACTTTCTATTTGAGTGAGACCACTTGATTCCGTGTACTATGCGAGATCCGAGCGCTTCCGTTCTCCCTGGCATTTGCATTTTAAGTTCTGATACTGACCGACCTGGCCAATGCACCATTTTATCTATACATGTGCGTTGAATACATTTCAAACCTTTTTAGCTGACTAGATTTATATATTTCCCACCTTCTGCTCGAGTGAGACCGTTAGATTCCCTCTACGTTTTGAGAAACGAGCGTTTCCGTTCTTCCTGGCCCCACCTGCACTACGAGTGCGAAATGCCGGCCAGACTGGCCGATGCACCATTTTCTCTACACATGTGCGTTAGTTACCTTTCAAACCCTTACGTTCACTAGATGAATATATTTCCTACCTTCTATTTGAGTGAGACCACTAGATTCCGTGTACTTATGCGAGATCTGAGCGCTTCCATTCTCCCTGGCATTTGCACTCCTACGTTCCCATACTGACCAACCTGGCCAATGCACCATTTTCCATATACATATGCATTAGATTCCTTTCGAACCTTATTAGCTCACTAGATTTATATATTTCCCACCTTCTGATTGAGTGAGACCGCTAGATTCCCTCTACTTTTTGAGAAATGAGCGTTTTCCGTTCTCCTTGGCCCTAGTTGCACTATAAGTGCGAAATGCTGGCCAGACTGGCCGATGCACAATTTATCTCTACACATGTGCGTTAGTTACCTTTCAAACCCTTACGTTCACTAGATGAATATATTTCCTACTTTCTATTTGAGTGAGACCACTTGATTCCGTGTACTATGCGAGATCGAGCGCTTCCATTCTCCCTAGCATTTGCATTTTAAGTTCCGATACTGACCGACCTGGCCAATGCACCATATTATCTATACATGTGCGTTGAATACATTTCAAACCTTTTTAGCTGACTAGATTTATATATTTCCCACCTTCTGATCGAGTGAGACCGTTAGATTCCCTCTACTTTTTGAGAAACGAGCATTTCCGTTCTCCTTGGCCCCACCTGCACTATGAGTGCGAAATGCCGGCCAGACTGGCCGATGCACAATTTTCTCTACACATGTGCGTTAGTTACCTTTCAAACCCTCACATTCACTAGATGAATATATTTCCTACTTTCTATTTGAGTGAGACCACTTGATTCCCTGTACTATGCGAGATCCGAGCGCTTCCGTTCTCCCTGGCATTTGCATTTTAAGTTCCGATACTGACCGACCTGGCCAATGCACCATTTTCTCTATACATGTGCGTTGAATACATTTCAAACCTTTTTAGCTGACTAGATTTATATATTTCCCACCTTCTGATTGAGTGAGAGCGTTAGATTCCCTCTACTTTTTGAGAAACGAGCGTTTCCGTTCTCCGTGGCCCCACCTGCACTATGAGTGCGAAATGCCGGCCAGACTGGCCGATGCACCATTTTCTCTACACATGTGCGTTAGTTACCTTTCAAACCCTTACGTTCACTAGATGAATATATTTCCTACCTTATATTTGAGTGAGACCACTAGATTCCGTGTACTATGCGAGATCTGAGCGGTTCCGTTCTCCCACGCATTTGCATTCTAAGTTCCCATACTGACCGACCTAGCCAATGCACCACTTTCCATATACATATGCATTAGATTCCTTCCAAACCTTATTAGCTTACTAGATTTATATATTTCCCACCTTCTGATCGAGTGAGACCGCTAGATTCCCTTTACTTTTTGAGAAATGAGCGTTTCCGTTCTCCTTGGCCCTACTTGCACTATAAGTGCGAAATGCCGGCCAGACTGGCCGATGCACCATTTTCTCTACACATGTGCATTAGTTACCTTTCAAACCCTTACGTTCACTAGATGAATTTATGTCCTACCTTCTATTTGAGTGAGACCACTAGATTTCGTGTACTATAAAAGACCTGAGCGCTTCTGTGCTTCCTGACATTTGCACTCTAAGTTCCCATACCGGCCGACCTGGCCAATGCACCATTTTCCCTATACATATGCATTAGATTCCTTTTGAACCTTATTAGCTCACTAGATTTATATATTTCCCACCTTCTGATCAAGTGAGACCGCTGGATTCCCTTTACTTTTTGAGAAATGAGTGTTTCCGTTCTCCTTGGCCCTACTTGCACTATAAGTGCGAAATGCCGGCCAGACTGGCCGATGCACCATTTTCTCTACACATGTGCGTTAGTTACCTTTCAAACCCTTACGTTCACTAGATGAATTTATTTCCTACCTTATATTTGAGTGAGACCACTAGATTCCGTGTATTATGCGAGATCTAAGCGGTTCCGTTCTCCCACGCATTTGCACTCTAAGTTCCCATACTGACCGACCTGGCCAATGCACCACTTTCCATATACATATGCATTAGATTCCTTCCAAACCTTATTAGCTCACTAGATTCATATATTTCCCACCTTCTGATCGAGTGAGACCGCTAGATTCCCTTTATTTTTTTAGGAATGAGCGTTTCCGTTCTCCTTGGCCCTACTTGCACTAAAAGTGCAAAGTGAGAAGAAGTGAACGAGAGAATGAGTGAACTATGAACGAAGTGAGTACAAATAGGAAACCCTAACTAGGTTGTACCCCCTATGGGATACCCCACTATAGCCTACATAAATGAGTAAGCTATAATGTTCTGACACACCCCCATAGGCAAAGTGGGGGAGAACAAGGGGTCACAAGACCAGTCAAGTAAAGCAAAGGAAAGCTTAGGGTGGATCACAAAGTTACCACACATTCTGAGCACAAGTTCAAAAAAGGCCAGAAGGCCAGTTCACATGCAAGATCATATATAAAGATATACAAGAGTCAAGCAAGTAAGAGCAAGAGTATATATAGGTGAAGGTACAAGCAAGGTCAAGAAGTGAGCAAGTGAGGCAAGACAGACACAAGACCCAACTGCGTGCAACAACGCTGATGATCACAAGGCGCAAGTGCCTTAGTGAAGACATCAGCAGTGTTGGCCTCAGAGGCCACGTACGCAAGTCGCAACTGTCCACGCTGCTGCAGCTCATGAGCAAGAAAGTAGCGGAGGGCAATGTGCTTCGTTCTGTGCTCCAGTCGCTGCTCTCGACACAAGGCCAGCATGGCCTTGTTGTCTACGTACAGGACTGGAGGAGAACGAGGCTGCTCTCCAAGGTCGGTCAGCAGGTAGGTGAGCCAGCGTAACTCCTGTGCAGCCATAGCCCCAGCGTAGATCTCAGCCTCACAACTGGAGCCCAGAACAGAAGACGAGCGAGTAGCCCGCCACGAAACAGAGCCGGAACCAAGGCTGAAGGTGTAACCCTGTGACGACCGCTGCGTAGCCTGGTCATCAGCCCAGGAAGCGTCTGCGTGCCCAGTGAGGACCACTGGACTGCCGCCCTCCAAGCACTAGCCCCATGCCCGACGTACTGCACAAGGTAGCGCAACACCCTCTTCGCTGCAGCCATGTGCTCTGGTCGGTGTCTCCCAGGAGCAACATAGCGTGCTAGAATGCTAAGAGGGTATGCAAGGTCAGGTCGTGTGCAGGTCATCAGGTACATGAGGCAGCCAGCAAGCTCTGCATAACGGGACCACTCGACTCTACGGACTCATCCGAAGGCAGAGCTGAGAGCGAGTGGCGAGTAGGCAGAGGAGTGGCCTGAGGCGAGGAGTACGTGAAGCCGAAGCGCTGAAGGACCTGCTGCACCATGTGTGACTGAGTCAGGGTAATGGTGCGGCGTGCTCTGTCCCGGGTGATCTGCAAGCCAAGGTAGCTGCGCAGTTCACCCAGGTCAGTGCACGTGTGTCTCTTCTGCAGCTCGGACTTCACGTAGGCGAGTCCAGCAGTGTCAGCTGTGGCAAAGACCAAGTCGTCGACGTACACGAGGATGTAGAACGGCGGCAGAGAGGTTGTCGGTGCGCAGAAACAGCGACGGGTCGGCAGTAGACGGAGCAAACCCAAGTGCCGCGAGCGTAGTCCTCAGTGTGTCGTGCCACTCACGTGGCGCCTGGCGGAGACCGTAGACTGGACGCGGAGACTCCACTGGGTACCAGGAGGGAAAGACCCAGTGAAGCCAGGTGGGCGGCGCAGCCAGATCTCCTCGTGCAGACTGCCCTGCAAGAAAGCTGTGCTGAAGTCGAGAGAGTGCAGCTCGTAGTCACGGTGAGCAGCAACGTGCAGCAGAACCCGAAGGCGGCGGCCAGACACTGGAACTCCTCCTGCCTGTCCTCAAGGACGTCCGTGCCGAGGGCACACTCACCCCCGACGGACGGAGGACAGCAGACTCAGACTCAGCGACAAGACTGGCAGCGTAGTCTAGACGACAGCGCGCAGCAAAGTCGACAAGCTCAGTGACAAGGGCAGACGCAGCAGACGACTCGAAGGAAGGGTCAGTGACAGCAGTAGCAAGGAGACGCGTGACAGTAGGACTGGCAGCACGAAGAGAGTCCGACTCCGGGTCGGCAAGAGCAGGAAGAGAGGTAAGCAGGAGGAGAAGGCAAAGGGGCACGCAGAGGAGCAGTGGACGGACGCAGTGACATCCGGTGCGTGCCAGGGACAGGAGGAGGACGCTGACGCGACCCGCGACCACTAGCGCGCTCAGTACGAACAGGCGACGCAGGACGAGACGCAGGCTCACGACGCTCAGTAAGACCTCCAGTCGGACCAGCGTAGGGAGAAGGAGCAGGCAAAGGGAGGCAGGCTGTAGCTGTGGCTGTGACCGGACAGGCTGCGGACCCTCTAAGGGAGGAGGAGGAAAAGTGTAAGACCAAGAACCTGCTGCAGGAGCGGAACGAAGTACGGTCGGGGCCGCGCGGCGACGCCAGAAACAGCAGGAACAGCACCAGCACCCTCGGCAGGAGCACCCACTCCAGTAGCACCTCCAGCAGCTCCACCAGAAGCTCCAGAACCTCCAGCAGCAGCACCAGGAGCACTGTCAGTCGGACCGCCAGCAGCAGGTTCAGCGCCAACACCCTCAGCAGCACCAGCTCCAGGAGAACTCGCAGACCCAGCAGCTCCAGCACCCACAGGACGAGCACCGCCGGGACGCGCGGCAGCAGTGCCCTCTGCAGCCAAAGAACCACCAGCACCAGCAGCACGCCTCCAGCGCCTGGCAAACCACTCACGCAGCTCCTGTGGGGAGAGTGGCTCCCGGCGAGACGAAGCACCCCCAGGCTTAGCACCCCTAGGCTCAGCACCCCTAGGCACAGCACTCCCAGGCACAGCACCCCCAGGCTCGGCACCTCCAGGCTCAGCACCCCCAAGCACAGCACCCCCAGGCCTCAGCACCTCCAGGCTCAGCACCCCCAGGCTCAGCACACCCCCAGGCTCAGCACCCCCAGACTCAGCACCCCCAGACTCCGCACCCCCAGGCTCAGCACCTCCAGACTCCGCACCCCCAGGCTCAGCTCCCGCAGCAGCACCAGAGTCACCAGTGACCTCGACAGGCTCGACCGCGTCTACCTGGGACACACCTGAAGGGGCAGGACCCTGAGGGGGGAGGGGGACTACCGGGGGGGGACCTGGTACCAAGAAGAGCGGGGGGTGGGGGGAGGGACGGAGTGCGGTAGGGGAAGAGGCGGTAGTAGGGTACCGACTCGTCGAACGTGACGTCCTGGGAGGGACAGAACACGTCGAGAGGTGGGGTGGTAAAACTGCCACCCAGGGGCGTCGGGGGGGAACCCTAGGAAGACGCAGGGAGCAGCACGAGGGGACAGCTTGTCCGCAGACAGGTCGCGAACAAACGCCCGAGATCCCCAGACCCGGAACGCCGACGCATCGCCAACCTTCCCCGTCCACAGCAGAGCTGGGGAGGTCTCCGGTCGAGAGACCCTGGGGTGGAGGTTGATCTGGTGCGCAGCGTACCTGACCGCAAACGGCCACAGAAAATGGGGAGCAGCCGCATGCATCATGGACGTACGAGCGACAGTCCATGACCATGCCAATGCGGCGCTCAGCAATCCCATTCTGCTGTGGTGAGTCCGGAAGCGTGAAGGTCTGACGGATGCCTCGCACACGACAGTAGGCACTCAGGAGGGCCAGAGGAGAACTCTCCGCCTCTGTCCGAGTGCAGACGCAAGACAGGAAGTCAGAGCCAAAGCTCTCCGAAGCTGAAGACGAGCTGCGCGGATCCAGTCGATCAACACCTGAGTGACCTCACCCTTGCTGCGCAAGGGGAAGACTGTGGTGTAACGCGAGTAGTCGTCAACCACGAGCAGGAAGTAGCGCTCCTGACCCTGTCCACGGACGCGGGCTGGGCCCCACACGTCCATGTGAAGCGTCTGCAACGGGGCCTCTGTCGGAGGAAACTGGGAGGAGTGAGGGGCAGCACGCTGGCGCCCCTCGACACAGGGGACACAGGCAGGGCCAGGGCCCGGAGGAAGGGGAGGGAGAGGACCGGGGGAAGACCAGACACAAGGACCCGCGAGGCCATGCCTCTGAGCCGAAGCAGAGAGGGGTGGCCAAGGCGGTGGTGCCAGAGGAGGGTCTCGTGAGACAGACGACGACACGAACAGGGGGCAGACTCAGGACCAGACCTGGACGCTGCAGCAAACACCTGACCAGACGAAGGGGACCCCTACCAGACTCAGTACCTGGAGGAGAAGCAAGTGGTCAGTGTGTACAGGCTCGACCCTGGCCGACGTGTAAACGTAGCCAGGTGGCGTACCTGTATCCGCCTCCGTGCAGTGGGTCACCCGCTGACGAGCAGGGGTGAACTGGTGGACACCCTGCATCCTGGAGGTCAGCACCACTCACCAAGTTCGTCGAGAACGAGGGGAGGTAGAGACCAGTAAGGGTGCCAGAGGGGGCCGCCGGAACACGGGAGGACAGTGGAGAAGCGAGACAGGACAGGCCCCCCAGAGGGGTCAGCCAGGGACACCGCAACCGGCCGACTCAGCGGCGTGAGAGTGGTGCGGTCCCGAAAGAAAGAGCGAGACGCTCCAGAGTCAAGGGTGAAGGTGTGAGAGGCCGAAGCCGACACAGTACCTGAGAGGGCAGACTCACCAGTACCTGAGAGCACAGACGCACTGGCACCTAGAGCAGCAGCCTCACTAGTACCTGACGCGGCAGTACCAATGCCCGGGTCGGGCGGGAAACACCGGTAACAGTCATCCTCATCACTACCAGTCACAGCATACATAGCAGAGAGAATAGCATCAAAAGTCAAGATCATAAATAGCTACACCAGCCCTAGACAGCTCTCCCCAGCGGGGGATCTCAGCGGCCTCCGGAAACTGCTGACGCCAGGCGTCGGTCAGGCGGCCAAAGCAGCGGCGGGCTGTGTGGGCGCCTCCACACCTCTCCCCTGCACGGTCACCGGTGCGAAGAACGTAGGGGCAGGGACCAAGCGCACCACCACGCTGACGCTGCAAGTACCACTCACGGAGCTGCTGAGGGGCCGGGGACGGTGCGAGAGCGCTGCTGCTGCTTGGGCTGCTGCTGCGGCTGCTGCTGCTGCTGCTGCTGGCGCTGACCACCCCCAGAGCTGCTCCGCTGGGACGAGCCACTCCGACCCCCGCCTCCACGCCACCCCCAGCCTCCACCGCCACCCCCGTCTCCACCGCCACCTCCCCCACCAGGACCGTCGCTCCCACCGCTCCCACCGCCTCCTCCGCTAACCACCTCCGCCGCCACCTCCGCCTCCACCGCCGCCACTAGTACCTCCACTCCCGCCACCACCCCCACCGCCACCCCCACTCCCCCCGCCACCCCCACCGCCTCCTCCACCGCCCCTCTAGCTCCACCCGCTCCCCTTGCCCCCCTTGCCCTTGCCAGCGCGGCGTCTGCCGACTGGGGGCAGACGCCGCGCCGACCGACTCAAAACCAGTGAGGTCGGCCGCAGCGGCAGAGGCGACAGAGGGCAAGCAGGGGGGAGGACCACACCCCTCAAAGATGGGGGTGCGAGGGTCACCCCGAGAGGCCCCTACAGCGACAATACTCTTCTCAGCCGCTAGCAGGGACTCCTCAAGGAGGTCGACAGTGAGAGTGGTGGGACAGACAGAGAGAAACTGGTCCCTAACGACACGAAGGGACTCAGGGAGACGGGTGACGAGAAAGTAGAGAGTGATGTACATGGGAGGAGGGTTCGCAGCGCGGAACTCAGCAGGAAGGGCAGCGCGGTAGCGGGTGTCACTAGCGCGGAGGTGGGTAACGAGGTCAGCGACAGTGGGAAAGGAAGCGAGGTCAGGGAAGAGAAACGGTAGCATGAGGCGGCTAAGGGTAGCGGAGGAAGGGGAGGAGTAGCGCGCAACTACAGCGTCGTACAAGGCCTGAGCGGTCTTGCACTGACTAAAGTGGGCACGCTCAGAGGAAGGGAGGTGGCGACGCACAGCAAGACGTGCAGCAGCATCGCGGGTCGCCCACTTGGAGCGAACGGCAGAGTCAGCATCAGCAGGAGGGGGCAGGGACAGCGCCAGAGACAAAGTCAAAGAGAGAGACCTCATCGACCGCATCACATAGTAAGTACAGCTGCAGAGTCCTCAATCCAGACTGCAAAGTCAATGGCTCTACCCTCAGCGTCAAAAGCTAGACATTGGGGTGGCCATGACAGCAGCTGACAAGTCTCACCGGGCAGGAAGAGTCGGGTAGGTCAGTGGCGCAGGTACACAGCCCAGGAGAGCAGTAGCCCGACAGGAGCAGGAGTGCAGCTCACTCTGGGGGCTCGGGCAGCTCGGGCGGCCTCGGGCGGCTCGGACGGCTCGGCGGCGGCGCGGGCGGCTCGGGCGGCTCGGGCGGCTCGGGCGGCTCGGTGGCTAGGCGGCGCGGGCGGCTCGGGCGGCTCGGGCGGCGGCACGGGCGGCTGGGGCGCTCGGTGGCGGCTCACGGGCGGCTGGGACGGCGCGCGGGGAGCTCACGTGCGGCTGGGCGGCGGCCAGGGTGGCTCACGGGCGGCGGCGGCGGCGTCGGCGGCTCACGGGCGACGGCAGCGGCAGCGGCG